AATGTTTTGTAGAATTCTCCAGTGAAGCCATCTGGGCCAGGGCTTTTATTGGTTGGGAGTTTTTTTATTGCCTTTTCAATGCCCTTAGGAATATTTTGACTTATGAAATAGGGAACATCTGAGAGTTGGGTGATTGGGAAAATTGTTCCGTCATTAAATGGACTTAATTTTTTTTTGTATTGTGCCTTGTTTTATGGTAGTATGTTTTTATGGATGGATGGACGGACAGACAGGCAGACAGACAGGTAAATATAGGAGTTCCTGGGTGGCACAAACGGTTAGGCACTTGGCTACTAACAAAAAGGCTGGCGATTTGAAGCCACCCAGAAGTGCCTCTGAAGAAAGGCCCGGGGATCTACTTTGGAAAGATCACAGCCATTAAAAACCCTATGGAGTGAAGTTCTGCTCTGTAACACCTGGGGTCACTGTGAGTCGGAATCAACTTAACAGCACTGGTTACTGGTTATGGATATAGATATACATCTATGATATAGATATGGACATATATATATATTCTTAAATTCTTTGTTTCAAAGAAGAGCTGGAGACAGGTGCAGAATAAAATAGTTTCTCTAACTGCGTATAGGGACAGAAATGAAAGTTGGGAGTTTCTTTATAGTCTCCTAATAATAATTGTTTCTTCTAGCAACTATATGTGCCACAGAAATGCCCTCCCTTCAGTTTTATGCTTTATATAATTTTTCATTCCTTCTGTCATTTTATATATCATTTCATTTTATATTTCATTTCATTCCTGCTATCATTCTATAGGGTCACTATGAGTTGGAATTGACTCGATGGACGTAGGGTTTTTTTTTTTTATCATTTTATCTCTGTTACTTAGTCTCAGTCATATTAGACCACAACTAGTGAGAACCTTCCATTTCTGAATGTGCAAGAGGGGAAAAATACCATAACTGATCATTTTTCAATAGCATGAAGAACACTGGTGTCTTAGGTTTCCTAGTGCTGCTATAACAGAAATATCACAAGTGATAGCTTTAAGATTCACATGTCATCTGTCTGCCCCCATTTGTGCTTGTCTTTGTGTTTAATCTGCTCTTTTTATAACTCAGAAGTGATTAGTTTAGGACACATCCTGTACTGTATGGCCTCATTAACATAAAGAAACCCTACTGTCCTAACAAGAACCCATTGCTGATTCCGACTCATAGTGTCCCTATAGGACAGAGTAGAACTGCCCCATAGAGTTCCCAGGGCTGTAAATCTTTTTTTTTTTCAGTGGCAGCCAAGTGAGATTTTTGAAACTCAGTCTTACATTACTTAATATGATTCTGATGAAGACTGCAGGAGAAAATGTATAGATTACCTACTGCCTGGCATGTAGTGAGTCCATCAATGTAAGCTATAATTTTTTAAAAAATCTACAGTAAAACACTAAAACCAGACATAAAAAATCATGGAGCTGCTCCATTGACAAGTTGCTAATTAATTATCAAAGTTGATAAGAGTCCAAGTCTTGCCCCTAACAATGTGGACCACAGCCAAGGGAGAATGGGTCTTCCCACACACTTCTCCACCTCTTCCCCCTCCCCCTTTTTTAAAATTGTGTTTTAGGTGAAAGTTTACAGTGCAAATTAGTTTTTCATTCAAAAATTTATATACAAATTGTTTCGTGACATTGGTTGCAGTCCCTGCAATGTGTCACCAAGGCTGTAAATCTTTACAGAAACAGACTTGCCACATCTTTCTCCTGCAGAGCCGCTGGTGGTTTCGAACTGCCGACCTTTTGGTTAGCAGCCGAGTGCCTTAACCACTGCACCACCAAGGCGCATTTTAAATAAGGTACAGGGGTTAGGATTCTAACACATGTTTGGAGCGGGATCCAATTCAATCCATAACATTTGGCTATTCTTACGCTGCTTAGATGTAGCTGAGAGAACAGATTTTTAGAAAACCTGCAGTAAAAACAAAATCTAGCAGACATTCTTAGTGTGTATCTATCATAGCTAAGACCAAACATTATTGTGAATGCAGAGAATAATTAAGCAATTTGAACCAGTTCATTGATTATCTTCTGCTCACGGTTGAAAAAAAAACAAGTTACATGCCCAGTACGTCTTCCTTAGTGGCAGGTAAGACTAATAAATTGTTACCTGCCGTTGACTTGTCCTTTGACTCATGGTAACCCCATGAACAATGGGATTGGACCCTTGAAATTAATAGTGTTTTCATTGGCTGATTTTTCAGAAGTAGATTTTTTGCCAGGCCTTTCATCCTAGTCTGTTTAGTCTGGAAGCCCTGCTGAAATCTGTTCAGCATCATAGCAACACACAAGCCTCAACTGAGAGACTAGTGGTGGTGGCGCTAAGGTGCCAAAAAAGAAAAAAAACCAAACCTGTTGTCGTTGAGTCACTTCCAACCCATAGCAACCCTACAGGCAGAGTAGAACTGCCTCATAGGGTTTCCAGGGAACGCCTGGTAGATTTGAACTGCTGACCTTTGGTTAGCAGCCAAACTCTTTTTTTCTTTTTTTATTGTTGTAGTTAAATGAAGTTTACATTTCAAGTTAGTCTCCTGTACAAAATTTTATATATACATTGTTATGTGACCCTAATTGCTCACCCCATTCTGTGGCAGCACACTCCTCTTTTCCACCCCTGATTCCTCATGACCATTGAACCAGCTCCTAACCCTCTCTGCCTTCCCATCTCACCTCTGGACAGAAGCTGCCCCTTTGGTCTCTTGTATCTACTTGACTAAGAGGCACACTCTTCACGATTATCAGTTTATGTCCCACAGTCCAGTCCAATCCCTGTCTGAAGAGTTGGCCTTGGAAATTGTTTTAGTTCTGGGGTGATAGAGAGTCCAGGGGCCATGCTTTCCAGGGTACCTCCAGCCTCAGACCATTAAGTGTGGTCTTCTTACTAGAATTTGAGTTCTGCACCCCCATCCTTCTGCTCCATCAGGGACTCTCTGTTGTGTTCCTGTCAGGGCGGTCATTGGTGGTAGCCGGGCACCATCTAGTTCTTCTGGTCTCAGGCTGATGAAGTCTCTGGTTTATGTGGCCCATTCTGTCTCTTGGGCTAATACTTTGTGTCTTTGGTGTTCTTCATTCTCGTTTACTCCAGGTGGCTGGGACCAATTGATGCATCTTAGATGGCTGCTCGCTAGCTTTTAAGACCCCCAGACGCCACTCACCAAAGTGGGATGCAGAATATTTTCTTAATAAACTTCATTATGCCAGTTGACCTAGATGTCCCCTGAAAGCATGGTCCCCAGACCCCTACCCCTGCTACTCTTTCAGAGTATTTGATTGTAGTCAGGAAACTTCTTAGCTTTGGTTTAGTCCAGTTTTGCTGACTTCCCCTGTAGTGTGTGAGCAGCTGAACTCTTAACCACTACGCAACCAGGGTGTAGTGGCTGGGAATTGAAGGTGAGAATTCTACTGCTGAATCACCACTGCCCTCAACTAACAAATGTCAACCCATGGGGGAAAATATTTTAAAAGACATGTTAGAAAAGGAAAAAATGTTTTAAAGGACATGCTGGAAAATGAAAAAATGTTTTAAAAGACATACTAGAAAAGGAAAAAATGTTTTAAAGGACATGCTAGAAAAGGAAAAAAATGTTTTAAAAGACATGCTAGAAAATAGGGTTTTAAAGCTTCTTAGTCGTTTAAAAATCCAATTTCTTTTTTTTATTATTGTGCTTTAGGTGAAAGTTTACAGAGCAAATTTAGTTTCCCATTCAATAATTTGTACATAAAGTGTTCCATGACATTGGTTGCATTCCCCTCAATGTGTCTGCACTCTCCCCATTTCTACCCTAGTTTCCCCATTTCCTTTGGTCTGGATTTTCTACCCCTTCCTGCCTTCTCATCTTTGCTTTTGGGCAAATGTCCTTTTGATCTCGTATAATTGATTGTTCTAACAAACACATTCTTCTTGGGTGTTATTATTTATTTTCTGGGCCTATATATTGTTTGGCTGAAAGGTGGTCTCCGGGAATGGCTTCCATTCCATGTCAGACAGGTGTCTTAAGGCCATAGTCTTGGGGGTTCCTCCAGTCTCAGACCAGTAAGTCTGGTCTTTTTTGTGAATTTGATTTTTTGTTCTAAATTTTTCTTCTGCTCTGTCCAGGACCCTCTGTTGTGATCCCAGTCGAAATGGTCAGTAATGGTAGCTGGGCACCATCTAGTTCTTCTGCTCTCAGGGTCACGTAGGCTGTGGTTTATATGAACATTAGTCCTTTGACTGCTCCCTTGGTTCTTTGCTTAATAATCCATTTTCTGATAGTAATCATGATTTTTAAATATATGTGTAGTTGCAACATTTGATGTTACATTTAAGATAGGCTAAAATATCTTCATACTTTTAAAATAATTTTTCTAACTGTATTAGTTTATATTAAGAAACTTTATTGGCAATCATAGTAGCTTTTCTTCTATTAAATAAAATGCTTTAACGTTTAAAATTTTATTTTAGACTTTACTGCAAAAATGAAACCTGATGAAACTCCTATGTTTGACCCAAGTCTACTCAAAGAAGTGGACTGGAGCCAGAATACAGCTACGTTTTCCCCAGCCATATCGCCAACACATCCAGGAGAAGGCTTGGTTTTGAGGCCTCTTTGTACTGCTGATTTAAATAGAGGTATGGATTGAAATTTAGTTTGTAAATCCTGGTTAGAATTACAGTTAGCCTTCTATTTTCTCCACAAACGATTATGATGATGCTGATAATTTTTAGAAATAATATTTGACTTTTGAAGTATTTTTGTACTTAACTTTTAAAGTGACTGCTACAGTGTGTGTCAAGGCTAAGACCAAATAATATTGTGAAATAATTTCAAATGATTTAAGTACAATGCTGTTTCCTTCCAAGAAGCCAGAAAGATTTCTTAAAAACAAAGGTGAAATTACTATGCATGACGACACATAAGGAAAAATCTTTAAAAAGCTGGGAGGAAGAGTGAGGGTGGAGATAATTGGCTTTGGATAAGTTGCAAAGGGTTTTGTCTACATGTATTTATTTTTTTTAACATCTAAAGTCTCCGAAATATTTTTTTTCCTCAAACTTTGATAAATCAGAAATCACCTTTTAATTTTCATAGTTTTCTTTTTGGTAGGAAATCTAAAGAAATTGATTATGGTCAAATTCATTATTGAGTGCATATAAGTTGAGATTCTCAAAATTCTAAAATGTGCTGTTTACATTAAGAAAAAATGAACTAGGGATCTTTAAAATCATAATCTCAACAATATTATATTTTATTTTAAAAATTATATCATTTTGATCATAGTGAAAATCTTGCACTTTTAAATAAAACCGAATCACATATTTGGGAAAATCTGGCATCCTTTGCATTGAATTTAATGCAAATTGCGTTGAAAAAATGAGTGATGGCTGAATATTAAAACCAGTTGCCTCCAACCCATGGTGACTTCATATGTGTCAGGGTAGAACTGTGTTCCATAGGATTTTCAAGGACTGAGTTTTCAAAAGTAGGTTGCCAGGCCTTTCTTCCAAGGCACCACTGGGTGGACATGAACCTCCATCCTTTTGGTTAGCAGCTGTTTGTACCAACCAGGAACTCTGGCTGAATGTTAAGGTCAGCACTATTCCAAAAATCTTATACAGGCAAAAACATTGGTGAACCTATTGTTCTTTGTTAAATATAGTGATTACAGAAAGAATAATAGGTTTCTGTTTAATTTGTTTTAATAATTTAAAGATGATTCAATATAGAATTTTTGAAAAAATAATTGCCCATAATCCCACCATCTTAACACATTACTTCTTTTGGTACAATACCTTCTATTTGCTCTTCTCATGACTTGAAATCTGTTTTACAAAACCAGGGTTTTTTAAGGTACTGGGTCAGCTGACAGAGACTGGAGTTGTCAACCCTGAGCAATTTATGAGTAAGTACTATAGCCTATTTTTCCTGAATGAAAAGAAATAAGGGGAAACAAGATTGTGTTATTGTTTAGAGTTCTGTTGAGCACCAGTGTGTGTGTTCAGAGATCTGGAAGTTACTCAAGTAACAAATCAGCTACTTTCTTATTTAAATATTTAATGTGGCTGAACTGTTCTAGAATCCAAATGCAGCAATTACCTTGTTTTGCAGAATGTCTGACTTCTTTTAGATACTTCACTAGAGCCTAGGGCCTAGTTGGCAGCTCTAGAGATTTTTGTTTATTGTAGTATTTTGTTTCATGTAGTTAGGTTATTTGTAGAAATTTTATCACCGAATCAAAAATGTAAGAAAATATATTCTAAATTTATTGTCTTGGTCCATTTATATTGAATTTTTAGGTTAGTTGGTATCTTAAGAGAGTTAGTTCAACCCCTTCTGTCTACATATGAGAAAATGGAAATCCAGATAGGTCAAATGACTTGCCTAAGATCAGGTAGATAGTGGTAAGGAAAGGACTAGAACCTTACTGTTTCTCTCCAGTGTTCTGGCAGTGTCCTTTATACAACACTGCCTTTTCCTGTTATCTATAATTTCTTCATTTCCCTCAATAAGTAATTTTGTTTTGTACTTTGTCTGAGCCCCTTGAGAAAGAAGACCATCATTTTCTTCATTGTTTGTTTTGCTTCACTGAATTTATTCCTTCTTCTCATTCCAGACTCGTATCTAGAATAAAACCAAAAAAACAAACCCATTGCATCAAGTCGATTCCAACTCATAGTGACCCTACAGGACAGAGTAGAACTGCCCCGTAGGGTTTCTAAGGAGCAGCTTGTGAATTCGAACTGCTGACCTTTTGGTTAGCAGCCAAGCTCTTAAACACTGTGCCACCAGGGCTCCCCTATCTAGAATGAGACCTTGGAAATAAACAGTATGAGATACTGTTAGGCTCAGTTTTTATTCCCGAATTCCTCTTTGCATGCATATCAGTTTAGATGAGAAACAGTGTTATTTTAGCAGTATAAGTACTAAATCAATGTAAGGGGAAAGTACTCCATCTTTGCTCCCATTTGCTATATGACCTTGGGAAAATTACTTGGAGACATGTTTTTCAGTTACTTCACAAGGTGCTTCCAAAGCAAACAAAAATCATGATTCCGTTTGTTAAAAAAAAAAAAAAAAAGGAACCATGTAATCATGAAATAATTGCGCTCACAAAGAGAAAGATGAACACTATTTTGTCAAAATATTTTAAAACCAAAAGATGAAAAATCATAGAATGCAACCATGTAAACACACTCTTGTTAAAATTTGCAGTTTTGTTCGTTTTAACATCTGTTGAGTGTAAAGGTTAAAGAAACCTATTCAAAGTAACTAAATAATGAAGATATTAAACAGTTTTAATCCTTTAGTCACAGAAGTGGCAACATCTACAATTTATAAGTGCTATTCACCTAAAATGGAGCCCTTTTGGTGCAGTGGTTAAGAGCTCAGCCGCTAACCAGAGGTCGGCAGTTTGTATCCACCAGCCGCTCCTTGGAAACCCTACGGGGCACTTCTGCTATGTCCTATAGGGTCGCTGTGAGTCGGAATCGATTGAAGGCAATGGGTTTTTTTGTTCACCTAAAATACCTATATTAGCCTTACTTCATTTTTCTAACAGGTTTTTAAAGTGTAGGGGCTATATTCCAGTTGATGCTGATTGCTGTTATATCAACTACTTGTTCATTTTTAATAATGTAATATTTTCATTAGAGACAGAAAGCATAAATTACTTTGGTAAAATAGTTTTAAACATTAAATAATTGAGTCAGCTAAATGTCTGCCAGATAACATTTTGTTTTCCAATTCCCACAGAATCTTTTGAGCATATGAAGAAATCTGGAGATTATTATGTTACCGTTGTGGAAGATGTGACTCTAGGACGGATTGTTGCTACAGCAACGCTGATAATAGAACATAAATTCATCCATTCCTGTGCTAAGGTATGTATTCACATTAATGATTATGAGTTAGATGGACAGGTGTTTTCTAGCAAAATTGACTTTGAGTTACCATTAGACAAATCCTGTTATCTCACTGCTTTAACTGTAAAACCAGAGCTGTATTAAACTGAGAGAAGTTTTGCTTCTGAGAAATCACACTTAGTGGCACGCATTTTCCTAGTGTGTTCTGAGAGCTGTGAGGAAGAAAATATATTGAGTATGAATTGTTTGTTAAAAATTTTTCTGGTAAGGTTAGATTTGGTATAGTTCTAGAGAAGTCAAGTCATTATCATGCAATTTGACAGTAATGTTTAAAAACCCAAATACTGGGTCCTTGTGGCTATTTTTTTCAAAAACATTACCTTGAATATACTACAGTAGCACAAATTTCCATCCATTTCCAAGTGCTAAAGGGTTCAGAATACTGTATTCTACTCTAATTGTGACACTTCTAATGCTTACAGAGCTCTTTCACCCCTGATGAACTCACATGAAATAGTAAAGAAAACCTAGGTACAGTAGTCCCCCCTTATCCATGGGGGATACATTCCAAGACCCCCCGTGGATGCTTGAAACCGAAGATAGTACCGAACCCTATATATACTATGTTTTTTCCTATACATACACACCTATGATAAAGTTTAATTTATAAATTAGGCACAGTAAGAGATTAACAACAATCACTAATAATAAAATAGAACCATTATTAAGTAAAATAAGGGTTACTGGAACACAAGCACCGCGACAGTTGATCTGATAACCAAGTGATTATCAGACTAAGTGACTAACGGTGGGTGGCATATACCACGTGGATATGCTGGATTAAGGGATGATTCACGTCCCGGGTGGGACGCAGCAGGAAGGTGCAAGATTCATCACACTACTCAGAACGGCATGCAATTTAAAACTTATGAATTGTTTATTTCTGGAATTCCATTTAATATTTTCAGACCAAGGTTGACCGCAGCTAACTGAAACCTCTGAAAGCAGAGCCACGGGAGGGGGAACTACTGTAATGCAATGATTAGATGTTAAGATAGGAACATTTGGGATGTATTCTTTGAGCTTTATGAATTTTGGTGAAGTGTACTTGAAATTAATAAATTATATGTGGAGTAGGGTGATGGGTATATCACTTTCATGATTAAGATTACAGTTTGGTGATATGGACTCGGAAGTTGGCTTTGAAACAATGTGGGAAGGGAGGTTGAGTATATAGACAAAACAAGATTAGGCAACAAGTTGGTTCATTATACTACTCCCCTGTATAATAATCAAAGGATTTACATTTTGTTTTTTGTGACATTCAAGTATATAAAACATACTTCTCTTTATCAGTGAATTCTTATCAACTGTCACTTGTTGATTTAGCTAAAAACAAAGCTAGATGCTTAATTCTTTAAACACTGTCAATATTTTCAGAGAGGAAGAGTAGAAGATGTTGTCGTTAGTGACGAATGCAGAGGAAAGCAGCTTGGCAAATTGTAAGTAGGCAGAAAAAAGGTAACCTTAGGTAAATTAGATAATCTTTCTGTTTCAGTTTATAGTTTCAAAGAATTTACTCAATAAATATCAATCATCTGATAACGTGCCAGGTACTATTTCCCGGTATCTGGGATGTATGAGTGAACAAAACAGACCAATTTCTAGTATTCTAGTCCATTTAACTTAGTCATACCTTTTATAGTTTTATAACTTCAATCAAGATCTTCTGTTTTTTAATGATGTGATTTTTGGCTACGCAAACATGAGAAACCCCTTCAGGCAAATTTTTGTAGATCTTTTCTTGTTTTTTTTTCGCCACCTAACACGGGGTTGCGGGTTTGGTTTTTGGTTTAAGGCAGTGAGAACCACATTCTTATATGGGGTTTCGATTCTTTAAGGATTTGTAAGGAAAATGTATACGTTTTTGTTTTGTTTCCACTTCATGTTAATTAGACCAATCCAGAGTTAATCCTTTCACAAATACTAAAGTAGGTTTTAAATGATTAAAGAATACAGCTATTATATACCCAATTTATATGGAAATGCCAACTCCTGGTAAGTAGTTTGATTAGATTTAAGGGGAAAAAAGTGTTTACAAAATAATTTAAGCCATGTTTTTGAAAAGGTTGATAATCTTTAGAGTTAAAATTAATGTTAAAACTTATTTTTAAAGAGGATTCAAGGGTGAGTTTAGTATTTGTTCTATTTATTAATGGGCTGGAGATTATAAGATAAAGTATATTTGAAGTCAAATAAAATGCTTTGGGTGATTTAAATGCTTACCCACTTAAAATGTGAATTATATAAGTAAGTGCAACAGGAAAAATCTAAACCTATTTCTAATATAAACTTGGTCTTTTTAAAATAATATTAATTCATAGTGTTATTAAAATTCATTTTTATTAACAAATGCTCTATACTTATGTCCCCCACCTCACTTTTAAATTTCAGGTTGTTGTCAACCCTTACTTTGCTAAGCAAGAAATTGAACTGTTACAAGATTACTCTTGAATGTCTACCACAAAATGTTGGTTTCTATAAAAAGTTTGGATATACAGTATCTGAAGAAAACTACATGTGTCGGAGGTTTCTAAAGTAAAAATGTTTTAAGAAAGACAACTGTCAAAGGAGCTAATGCAACAAGACTATATACCCTTCCTAGAGTTAAACTCTTCTGTTGCTGCAACTCTGACCTCCATAAATACTGGACTGAAAAAACATGGTAATACTACAAGTATAATGACATTTAGAAGATTACTTTGGGCTGGTGGGACATGCTATGAGTTTAGATTACAAATGAATATTATAAAAGGTATGATTTTTAACCAAAGGACTATATTTTTAACTTGAATTTTTTCTTGTATTTTTCTAAAGTTTGGCTTCATTTCTTGGTAAAGAATATGGGTAGTAAGGAGTTAAATGTCTGCTATCTCTACTGCTCATTAAAAATATATACACTGAATAAGGTTGTTTCTTATCACATTCAGAAAATTAATATTTCTGTTTCAAAGAAACATATCTAAATACCACTGAGGGGTATACCATTTCCCAAATATTAATTACGTGATATTAGATAAGTTAGAAATTATAACTAAATGTACTACACGGCAACTTTTTTTAATCTTAATACCAGCAAACAACCTGGTCAGGTTAAAGGAGTAGAAATGAAAATTAACTTATAAAATGTGACAAGATTGAAAGTAAAACAATTTAAACATATAGCTAAGTTTATATAATCCCAATATACCGCCTGTCTTACCTATGAATTATTCATTTGTTAAATGTACCTAAGAGCAAACATAATGGGATATCTAAGGTACTATTTGAGGAGCCCTGGTGGTGTAGTGAGTGGTTAAGTGCTTGGCTACTAACTGAAAGGTTGGCGGTTCAAACCCACCAGCCGCTTGGTGGGAGAAAGATGTGGCAGTCCACTTCCTTAAAGATTTACTCCCTTGGAAACCCTACAGGGCAGTACTACTCTGTCCTGTAGGGTCGCTGTGAGTCAGAATTGATGGCAACGGGTTTTGGAAGGTACTATTTAACAATGAATTAGCAAATCCTGGCATATACTTCTAACCTGATTTCTCATCTTTCACGGGTATCTGAAGCCTCTCTTCCGAAGTAACATTTTTATGAAAAATGGAATATTACAAAATTAAGTGAATATTTAAAAATATATTACACTGCATTTGTCATATTCTTAAAATGTTGGAAGCTTTTCTATTTAATGTGATTACAGTAGTACAATTATTCTGGTCACCATCCTGTTTGATTTTATTTATTTTAATTATTTTTTTAAGTTGAAGTAAGAATGGGATACTTTATTAATCGTTCTAATCTTTTGCATTCCATGTTACATTAAACCTGTTCATGATTTTGTTAGAATCCTAATGTCTGCTTTTCTTGAGTCTTTTATTAAAGTTTCTGTTAGGTCAAGTCGTGGTTCATTACAGCTTAGTTTTGTATACTGTTAAAATGAACTTGGAAAGTAAAGACCAACTGTTTTTTTACCTCTTTGACTCACACCTAACTTAACTGGATTTCGGATCTCCCTCTATGCAGTCACCTAAAGTCAGCTTTCCAAACTTTTACAATAGAAACCCTTCACCAAGAGGGTGCACTACTTATCTGCTGATGACCTTTGCAGATTAACTCCGATAGTCTCTAGTGGGAGTCCTAGTGGCGCACTGGTTGAGAGCCTGGCTACTAACCAAAAGGTCGGCAGTTCGAATGCACCAGCTGCTCCTTGGAAACCCTATGGGGCAGTTCTGCTCTGTCCTATATGGTCACGATGAGTCAGAATCAACTACATGGCAACAGGTTTGGTTTTGGTTTAGTCTCTAGTGAAAGCAATAAAGCTAGTTTTGTCTTCTCAGGAGTCCTGCAAACTTGGCTTTATTAGGTACATTCTGGTAATTAAAAACCCATGTTAAAAAAACAAACCTAGAAAAAGGCAAAATTAAATGCTCTATTAATTTCTTCCCACTGAACAACTGGAGATAAAATTGTCTTATAGGGTTGGTATTTCAATCAATTCCTTTAAATGATGTGAAGGTCTTATCTTAAATTCTTAAATTATCTTAAATTCTCTCTATAAGGAACAGAATTATAAGGAAAGTACAGTCTATAAAAATTTTGTCACTGAGGACAATGGTGACTTATATTTAGCTTTAGTTAACAAGAGTATGTTTATGATTTTCTAAGCCATATTGTGAGTAAACTTGAGTAGGAAAAAGCTGCATAAAACATTATATCATAATATATGAACTATATTCACCACATTTTGGAGCACTGTTTGCTTGTGAAAGGGTATAATGAAGTGGCAGTTTTGAGTTCTACTGTGTCATATATTTTGTACATTTGTATTTCACTGACTGTTAAGGTGCACATTTTTTTACAATTGAAATTTGGATGTATTTTATGATCAATTGCTTGTCATAGTTTAGTCAGCAATATTTTGCCTTTTAATGGTACCTAAAATAATGGTATAGTTGTGATGGCAACTTCGATCTGATGAAGAACAGAACACAGGTAGGCTAACACGGGTGAAGAGGGTACTGTAAGAACAAGAAATATTTTTTAATGGGCTGGAAGATGTTGTATGGATGACCTACCCATTCTTTTGGACATGATTCTCTCACTTCTAATCCCAAACTCGATCAACTAATCCTTTAAAATATACTTAAGGTGGAATTTTTAATTCCCATGGACCATTGATCATACTTTTGTGTGCATGGCCACAATATTTTGGAGGATACTCTTAAGTGGTTCTCAATACCCAATGTTCACTCATCCTTCCTAATCCATGGGAGTAACACTGGATTATTTTAACCCAAAAGTTAACAATCTAAGTAAAGAAGTTCTGAGGCATAAGCAGTATAAATGAACTTTTCAATCTTTTTGAGGTATAATGGCACAACAGTTTAATACAACCACCAATCTTCACAAAATAATTTTAATACTTTGTGCCGAGGCTAGCAGCATTTTGCACTGTGACATTCCTATACACACATAAGCATTTTATCCAAATACAAATATTTGTTAAAAGCAGAGTAAATTAAGCAATTGCCTATACAAAGGTAAATAGACACTGTAGGTTATTTTTCTTCTTGAATCATTTTGCTGCATAGTAAATTGCAATTACATGTCAGTATAATGTTACTGATCTATAGAATACACTTTGAACTGTGAGGTATGACAACTCCCTATGAAAGGGAGCTAACATGTAAACCTGAATATTTTGAGTGATTTTTTTTTTCTTTTTTTTAGCTGCCATGGATGGTAAGACAAAAAATCCAGCATTCAAAGACCCTAGAAACTTACTTTTTCTAATCAAAAAAATTAAAATCTTTTAATAATACTCAGATAATCTCCTATCCTTATTGGAGCACTGCTGAATACACAAAGATAAAGTAAATATTGAAATGAAGTTATGGAATTATGGATTAAACCAGTTATTAAAAAAAAAAAAATCCGCCAGGTAACTGCTCATTTACTTTACATCAAGTTGAGATCTGATATATACATCCCAACTTTATAATTCAAGATTGCAGTTAAATACTTCTAATTCACTTGAATTACCATGGTAATAAGACAATTAGAAATCTTATATTTTCTTAAAAAGGACATGCTTAACATTTTCTGACATTACGTCTAAACTCAGATGAAGCACAAAATCCCCCCAAAACTAATATTCTGCTCTAAAAGTTAAGTGGCTGAGAGTTGGTAGCAAATGCTATCACTGTTTATCATTTCCACCATCGAGTAGATATCAATAAACAAAAGTAACTGCTGTTTAAACATCTAATAAATTAACATGAACCAATTAGCTGAAATTAGAAAGTAAGAATACTGCCATTAAGAATTAGAACATTTTCAGTACTTAAGTTATTCATACTTTCAAAATAGACAGTAATGCAGTTTTCCTATTTTTGATACAATTTCACTTTAAATTCTGTGCCCAGATTTACATACATTATTCACATACTCTAGAAAATAGATCATGATTGGTTAAATTTCTCTTAGTTAACTGTCTATCATGAAACATTAGTGGAAACAGGAATCACAGAAATGGAACCAAACAGAAGAGCTACTAGAAGAACTACTTCAACAGTAGGTGGAAGAATGAATCCAAGAAAAAAGAAACTTGCAATGTTTTATATGAAACAAAGACTGAACCCTATGTAATGCCCACATTAATACTGTAACCAAGATGAACCCAGTCCCTTTTTCTACTGTTTGTGAGAGACTGTTTTTAATACACAGTGCTGGGCAGGCACTTTAGTGACAGCATAAAAATTATAGTGGATAGAAAAGTGGAAAATTTTCAGCTGTAAATCAATATCAATAACCAAAATCTGTACTTCTGGTCAGACTACTAGAAAGGATATGTGTATTTAAGAAACAAATTAAGAAAAAAAAATCTTAACTGCCTCAATTTTAAAATCTAAATTTACTATTATGAAGGATTCTTTTAAGCAGTTTTGCAGAATGAAATGTCGTAGATTCTTGGCTTGTAAGACAGATCTTTGCTGACCTATCCAATAGTGAATTATATTCAGGAAAGCTGTGTCATCTGACACTTCACCAACTGGTATTTCTGAACACCCAATGCAAATCTTGTCTCCACTAGACCACTACACCAAATGACCTAATCACACAACAGAATACTGGACCACAATGGGATTAACAATATGCTGTTTTTAGGGTGGTGAACACCAACAGATATTAACTCTTAATTAACAAAGCATTTTAAGTCATTTCCACCTCTCTCACTCTGCTGGATAAAAAAGCTTTTACTGTATTATTACATCACAGGGAGGAAAGGAAAGCAAGTAACTTGGTGTAATAAGTTACCTTGCATAGTACCTCCTGATACCAAGAGAATGTATGAAAATCATTCCCATTAGTAAAGCACCTCAAGAGAGGACTGAGAAAACTGAGATACAAAGGAGTTTTGTTTGTGCTACCCTAAAGTCATAAGCTACAAAAAGTTAAAAACACTCCTCTCCTCCCTCACATCACATACCTAGATAGAAAAAAACGTTTTTCTTAGAACAATTTTTATACATATAAATAAAAACATGGAGAACCAAAGATCCATAAAGTGACTTTGCTACTGCAAATTATGGGGGACATTTGGATTAACTTAAAGAACTAATTATAAAGTTAATTTAAAACACACTAAGTCTTTCACAAATCACTTTCCCCAATAAATGCATCTTTAAAGAAAAGCTTTTGTCTGAGCAACCTCACAGAATCATTAAGACAACATAAAATGAACAGAAGTAAACGTTCCATATTCCAAATAATTTACTGAGGTTTTCAAGCCTCATACTTTGTTTAAACTAATTTATGGTTTAAAAAAGGAAAAGATTACAGAAAAACATTAGGAATTTTTCACTGTTATACATATTAATTTGGAGGTCATGAGGATTTATCTTTTTTTTAAAATGATGCAAGGCACTTTTCTGGGCTTCATTTTAAAAAAAGAAAATAGTGCTACACTGGTACATTCTATTTAGAACCATTTTGGACAAAGAAACAAAAACACACTAGGTGACTCTGAAAAGAACAGATAGAACATTTGGCTTTTACCAAAAGAAATGTCAAACAGAAAGTCGCGTGAAACTTAGTATCTTTCTTTTTGGAGCATCTGGTACTATAAAGTAAAATATTTTCCTTTGTTCATTAAACTTTTTTTTTTAAATAGAATAAACAAATTAGGAAGGTAGTAGGAAAGGAAGCATTAATTGGATCATATTAAAGTAAGAGAAGTTAGCTAATGTCATGATTTAAGACTATTAATAAAAGATCAAGAGAATTTTAAAAAAATAAAAGGATAATTAAGGTATTAGTGATACTAAAAAAGTATGTAGCAGATTCCTGCATTTTAATGTTTCTGTAAGAAGCTCCATCATAAAACTCAACTGTAAATTTATTTTAAAAATGTAATATATAGAACAAAAAATGAATTTTTAGCAAACTTTAGTAAATTCTTTTGTTATAAATTACCCAAATTTTATAAACAAATCCCCCCTAACTTGCATTTTGTTTAAAGTAATAACTCTATCATACAAATAAATTTCAAGTATGAAAAGTGCATTATTGCAATAATACCTCTTTGCAAGTCCAAAATTCTTGGTTTATAATAAAACTGTAAAGTTTAAAAAAAAAAAAAAAAAAAAAAAAGGATTAAAACCATCAGTGCCATCTATTGCAGAAGTCCAAAATCTTCTTAAAATGTTGCTCAGCAAGTTACAGAGAAACATGTCTGGAAGCAACATATAATTGAAAAGAAACTACTTGTGTTTTTATCATTTCACATTATTATTTCTCTAGTATTTTCTCCTTCTCAAATAGAAATTCACATCCTCTATAATGTTGCTCGAGTCAGCCATTCTGTGCAGTTGCCACTTGCATGCTTCCGAACTCTTCTTCTTCTTCATGTGTTCTCTTCAAACTGCCTAAAAAAGTTATTGTATGAACATAACATAAAATGGGAACTTAATAAATTCATCTGTTAGAATGTTACAGCTAGTAAAAATTTGTTTTTTCATGAAGTTTTAATATGTACACACTATGAAAATTTTTAGCAAACTTTAATAAATTCTTTTCTGATGAATTACCCAAATAATTTTATATCTTCATGACAACCTTGTTTCATTTTTCTTCCTGAGAGTTAAGTTTTGCATATGTTGTTGTTAGGTGCCACCTAGTCGACTGCAACTCAGCAATTGCATATAACAGAATAGAACTGCCCTATACAGCTTTCTAGGTTTTAATGTTTATCGGAACAGATTGCCAGGTCTTTTTCCAATGGACCCGCTGGGTGGGTTCAAACTACCAATCTTTCAGCTAGTAGTTTAGCCCTTAACCATTGTGCCACCAGGGATCCTCGAGTATTGCATATGATAAACATTAATTTTGAAAATAGAATTTTCAAAGAGATAGCAGTACATAAATGTTTGGTTACCAACTTTATGCTTTCTATCTGTTATGGAATGAATTATGTCCCCCAAATATATGTGTTGTAAATCCTAACCTCTACAGTCCCAATTTCGGATTGGGTTGTCTTTGTTATGTTAATGAGGCAGGATTAGTATAGAGTGTGTATCTCGAGTCAATCTCTTTTGAGATTTGAAAGAGATTAAACAAGCCAACAAAGGAGAGGTGGGGTAAAACAGATGCTAAGACACATGGAGATCTCCAAGGAACTGGGAAGGAGAAGCTAGAGACAAAGACCTTCCTCCAGAGCAGAGACAGAGAGACAGAGAGAGACAGAGAGACAGAGAGAGACAGAGAGACAGAGAGAGAGAGAGACAGAGACAGAGAGAGAGAGACAGAGACAGAGAGAGAGACAGAGAGAGAGAGAGAGATTTCCCCTAGAGCCGGCTCCCTGAATTCAGACTTCTAGCCTCCTAAACTGTGAGAAAATAAATTTGTTTGTTAAAGACATCCACTTGTGGTATTTCTGTTATAGCAGCACTAGATACCTAAGATACTATCCCATGAACATGTAACCTAGGATATACAATTTGAGCAATTAATTTTTATATTTGTATGATTTTATTTTGTAGATATAATTATTTTTGCCTTCACAGATGCTGCTATCAAAACAGCGAAAAATATTTTTCCACTATAGTTTCATTACCAGCAAGATTCAGGGTTGGGAGAAGTGAAGGCATGCAGAGGATAAGGAAGAAGTTTTCTTTTATCTACTCTTAAAATCAGAGCCTGTTAGTACAGAAATTTCCCACACAGAATCAAAGCTATCCCTATATGCCCAATAGTTTAATCAAGAAATCTGAGTCTCAATGGAGGAAAAATTCAGGAAAACAGGGAACTGGTAAAGAGTTTGCTGTTACTTGCCTAACTATGGAATGGTCATAAATTTTTGTCCTGAAGGTTCTGCTAAATCATAGTTAATAATGTTAATTAAAAGGGCAGATGCAAACATGAAGTTAATGTTTCAGTGTAAGATTAATAACTGCTGACTTTTTGGTTAGCAGCCTGAGCTCTTAACCACTGTGCCACCAGGGCTTCAAGATTAATAAAGAAAAAAATACAGTATCAGTACAACAGAATAAGGTAGAAGAACATATGCCACACACAGGACTAGATACAGCTACTGTGACGGAGTTTCGGATGAAGTGCTGAGCTTCCTAGCAGTCATGGAAAAAAAAAGGGGGAGGAGGTAAGAGACATATAAATAACTAATATAAGGCAAAAACTGGTTAAGCACTTGGCTGCTTATCCTGAAAGGTTGGCGGTTTGAACCTACTAGCCGCTCTGTAGGAGAAAGATATGGCAGTTGGCTTCCATAAAGATTACGTCCTTGGAAACTCTATGGGGCAGTTATTCTCTGTCCTATAGGGTCACTATGATTAGGAATTGACTTGATGGCGACGGGCTTGGTTTTTTTTTTTTTTTTTTTTTTAAGGCAAAAAGTGATGAGGCACAGGTAATGCTCTATCAGAGTCTGAATGACTAAGGGTTGGGGATACAGAAAGTTAGCCATAAATCCTTCTTGAGATAACATCTTAACTAAGTTTTTAATAATGAGACTGAATGTGATGCACTCTAGGTGGAGAAAAGAAGACACACACAGGAAGCCATCAGTAGCTCAGTTTTCTGGAGTGCATAATTAAAGGGGAACAACGAGAGATTCAAAAAGACGAATCATAAGGGTCTTTACAACCTATGGCACCCTAGATATTCTTCTGTTAAAATTAAGGCTTTTGAAAAGAGAAAATATCATTATTAGAACTATCTTTCATGAAAATAAGCCTGGCCACAATGAACAGAATGACCAAATAACAAGAGGAGGAGGCCAGTAAGAACTTGAATGAGATTTGAGATTAAGGATACTATAAGAAAAAGGGAATGAATTTTAAAGATACCAAGGAACAAATATACCAACAGATTCTACAGTGTTTGGAAACTGATTAGATAGAGGTGGAAAAGGAAATAAAAGATTCAGTGATAATTAGTAAGTTGCTCCATAGGGACGAGCGTATAGCATTATCACTACAGGCAGTGCAGTATAGTGGAATGAGTGCTAGGCTTGTGGGTCAGACCACCTGTGCTCAATTTCCAGATCTAACACCAACTAGGCATATAACCTGTTCTCTCTACTTTATAAGGCTGTTGGTTCAAATAAAACTCGAATTGTGCAGGAGAAAAACTGTAAATAAATAGATGCCATGAGTGCTCTAGTAGAGTAAAAACAGAGATAAATTTGGAAATGGATACTAGTAATGGTTGCACAACATGATGAATGTAATTAATGTCACTGAACTGTACATGTAAAAAATGTTGAAATGACAAACGTTTTATTATATATACACTTTCTACAATTTTAAAAAAAGGGAATAAACAAGGGTAGCAAGGTCTTGCAGAAGGAAGTTAAAGTTAAAAGGTATTTTGAGAGCATGCATGGATGATTAACTTAAAAACTGGGGAGGGTACTTCTGAAATAGGATGAAAGGGAGAAAGGGTTGAAATATTGATGGCAAGAGAAAAACTGAGGTAGTTCACATTAGTTAGCCTACTTAACTTGAAGCATGCTTTCATTTATTAATCACCCTTTATTTTTTAATAAAATCACCTAAGTGTACCAAGGCTTCTTCTCTAGACTACTTCTATTAATCTCTGCAAGACAGTTATGCTACTTAACAGACTTAGACTAAACCAAGTAGAAATTGGTCTTCTAACTAGCATATTCTAATTGACTTGGCACAGTGGTGTATACACTGCAGAAGCTCAATACAATACACATTCATTCATTATAAAATCAATCCTTTTGAAATTTTCTTGTTTTAATTTAATAGTTTAGCCAACGTTTTCTAAGCAACTAATTTATATTGTTCAGCGAAATTTGTAGCGAGCAAAAGAAGCACTCCACTGTTCACACCATCATCTTTCTCCCCCAACTTTCTCTAAAAAGAAAAAATCCTTACCTGTGGTACCAGAATGAACAGATAATGACCTTTCTATCTGCAGTGGTGACATCATCTGTATTGTTAATTTTGCTAAGTAGATGGCTTCATATTCCTAAAAAAGATTTTAATTAACTTGAATATACATTTAAATTCATGGATACTCAAAACAGTGATTAATGTGGACAGTATTGGTATTCTCAGTTTACACTGAAAAATTTGTTGCCATATTGTAACAGAAATGCAGGCTTAAAAGTCCTATCTCATATAATTTCACAAAGACTGATGACTAAATCAAATCAGGCCAATAGCTTGCACTACAGTATCACACTGAATTGCCAGTCAGAATGTGTTCTCTGCCACTGAGGAGCTAGCTGTATGATCTCTGACTTAATCTGTTAAAACAAAACAAAACAAAAAACCTTGAACTGGCAATCTCATAAAATGGTTGTAAGAATGAGATAAAATTCAGTAAGAATAAAACGCCATTAAAAAACTCAAAACCCATTGCCATTAAGTTGATTCCAACTTATAGTGACCTATACAGTTGTGAAATATTTTAAAAATCAAATTAAGATATTTAATGAATTCAAGTATATATATGTTTTTTAAAATTCCTTAAAAACTAGTCCGTACACTTCCAGTTAGATGAATAAGGGCATTTCTGTCTCTCCTCTCCTTCTGAAAATAAGAAATAGAAAACTCCCTATTTGATGAAGCTAGGAAATATTCATAACCCCAAATATGAGAAGAATGAGGAGAAAAGTAATGTGATTATCAATAGGTCAGGATAGTGGTGACCTCTGTGAAGTGAGGAAGACAGCTGTGATTGGGGCATCCTTCCTTCTTGAGGAAGGAACATCGAGAGGGCTTTTGGGTCCTGGCAACTATTCAATTTCCTGACCTTCATGGTGGTTACATAGATGTTTATTTACATTTTACATATTTTTTCTATATGTGGAATCAGACTACGGTAGGCACAGAAGATGCCTGACTCTGCAGATATGAGACAGAGCGGGTACACACAGCTCAGAGTCCTCCAAAGATGGTGGCAGACCTAGGGATAAAACCAGTAAGCCCTTGTGTGGTATGAGTATGAGTGGGCTGAGGGAAGAGGCAGGGTATATTAAGTCTTCCAAGACAACTGGGAAAATTCAAGCTGTCTGCCTTCTACAACCATTCTCCTGGCCCCTTTCCCACAACTCCTGGGCAAATAGCTGATCTAAGAAGAATACTTCCAATTCAAAGATGAACAGTAATAAAAAAGGAACCAGTACAGGCCTTATGCAAAGATGCTGCAAAAGAAAAAAAAAAAAAAAAGCAACACAACATTATAACCAAAAAGCATATAAAGAACACACCATTATACCATGAACACAGGAGAAAATTACAAATAATTTTCCAAGAAATCAAAGAGAATATGCCATGTCTGAAATGAGTTCAAAGAAGCAATAAAAGGATTCATGGAAGAAATATGACGAGAAGATGACATATCAACTATCAGAACTCAACAAAGAAATGGAAGAGAAAAAAAACCCTTCAGAAATGATGAATAAGAGAATCAACAAAGAGAATAGACTGAACTATGCAATTCTCAGGCAATACCAATTTCCCCCTTTCTCCTAGACTGTTCTAGTCAGTACGGAAATAGGCTATACTTTCTCCCATCTTAGACAACAAACAAAAATCCTCTACTAACCCCGGTTCCCCCTCTAACCTCTGTTTCGTTTCTGTTCTGCCCTTCAAAGCAAAATTTCTACAATTATCTACTCTTGCTGTTCAAATTCCTCTCTTCCCCCTTTCCCTTGAATTCTCTGCAAGTATGCATTATCCTCCACTCTCCACATAAACTGTTTATCAAGGACACCAATGACCTCATGTTCCTAATCTAATGTCAATTCTCAGTCCTTTACTTATTTAACCTATTAGCATCCTTTGATACAGTGGATCACTTCCTTCTTTTTCAAATACTTTCTTCATTTGACTTCCAGACATCTCATCATCCTCATTTTCCTCCTACCTCATTGGCCACTGCTCTATCTCCTCTGCTATTCCTCATCTCCCCAACCTTTCTTTACATGTTGGGGTGCATCAGGGTTCAGCCTTTGAAATTCTTTTCTATCCACACTCACTCCCCTAGTGATCTCATCCAGTCTCTAGGCTTTCAACAGTATCTATATACTGACAACCCCCTAGATACGTGGTTCTGTTTCTTCATCTCCATTCCTACATGTAACTGCCTAATAGCCCTTTCAACCTTCACATGACCAAAACTGAACACTTGATTTTACACACTTCAAACCTTCTCCTCATGCAGTTTCCCCCATAAGTAGCAAATCCAGTCCTCAGGCTAAAAGGCTTACAGTCATCCTTATCTCCTCTCTTTCAGAACCCATATCCAATCCATCAGCAAAATCTGTTAACTATACTGTTAAGGAAATTCAGAATCTGGTTTCTTCTCATTGTGCCCCCTGCTACCACTTAGTCCAAATCAATATTCTCTCTGGACTAGATTATTACAATAGCCTCCTAGCTGGTCTAACTTGCTTCTGACTTTGCCCCACACTCTCCCTACAGTCTACAGTCAACACAGTAGCCAGAATGATCCTGTTATAGGAAGTCATTCTTCTGCTCAAAATAAAAGCCAAAGGCCTTAAGGGCCTAAACATGTGACCCATATCTCATTCCCTACTATCCCATTTGCTTATCTGTTCCAGTCACAATGACCTTCTCAAAATTCCTTGAAACTACTATATAGACTTCCACCTCAAGGCATTTTGCACTTATTATTTGTTTTCCCCCAACTATCTGTATAGCTTGTTCTCTCAACTATTGCAGGTCTTTGTTTTCTCAGGCCTTCTCTGATAACCCTTTTAAAAATGCAATTCTTGTACTACCGTCCTTACAGGGACTTATTTTTCTCAAGAGACTCATTACCATCTGAACTACTATATTTCCTTTGTTTCCAGTAAACAAAGGAAAATTCCCCCACTAAAAATAAGTTCCAGGAGGGCGGAGACTTCTGTTTCTTGTTTTCTGCTTTATTGCCAGTGCCTAGAACAGTGCCAAATAAATATTTGATGAAACCATACAGCACAGGATACGAAAGATAATCTTGAGAAAACTCAAGCAAAAAGAAAGAACAAAGTTGCAGATAATTACAGAGAAAATGGCAGATACAAAAGATAAAGGGGAGCCAATATAAAATATATTCCTAAGAGGGAAAAATCTAGAAAATGAAACAGAACAAAAGCAAAACAAAATAAATAGTACTTAAAAAAAAAAAAACTTTCCTGAAACAAGGGAAGGCAAGGTGCAAGGGTGCATTATGACTCAGAAAAAACTAATATACAGCAATCAACAAGTATATCCTGATAAAAGGATCTTATGCACACCTAGGATCACCATCCCCCAAAAAATTAAGACATCTAACAGGAGAATTTTTTAAAAAATTAGGCTACCCTCAGATTTTTCCAGAGCAATATTCAATGTAGATGTGTATACAAAGTTATAAGGGAAAAAGCATTAAATACAAATTTTATATTCAGCCAACTGTCATTCAAACATAAGGGCAATAGATAAATATTTTCCAACATGCAAGGACTTAGGGAATATAGTTTCTGTGAACTCTTCTTGAAAATAATGCCTAAAGACAAACTCTAGGAGTTGAATAAAGAAGCTATGATAGGTGACAGGACTGGCTGAATTCTATTTAAATGCAGAACTAAGAATGAGCAAGGAGGAAATATGGTTACAGAATAGAATACAAACATAAACTGTAACAATGTAGAAAAAGTATATAATCTTCACAAAATTAGGAGGTGGTATTGGGTCAAATAGCAACACTCAGCTACAGCCATATTCAGGAAATGCATCTAAAATCAAAGTTATTTTTAAAAAATTGAAAGAAAAGAGATAACACTCACAAGGCAAATGCAAACAACAAAAAAGTAGAGTCCACAATATTAATATAAAAGAAGGTTACTTTCAAGGTAAGATAATTAAATGAAAGAAAAACAAAAGGTACAATCACTTAACTTGAAATTTTATGTACCATACAATACAGCACAAAAATTGAAAATAAATAACAGAAAATAAAGAAAAAAATAAATAAAAACAATATAGTAATAGAAGATTTCAATTCACCTCTCTCAGCCCAAGACAGATCAAGTGGACAAATACATTGAACTCTATCCCCTGAAAACAGAGAATACATCTTCTTTTCAAGTGCCCATGAACTACTGATAAAACCAACTGCCTATCAGGCAACAAAGCAAACATAAAAAAAATTAAGAAGTAAAAAGTATTATAAACTATCCTCTGATGAAATGCAATAAAACTAAGTATAAACAAAAATAGAAAATAAAAAGTCTCTTTATACATTAAAAAAACAAACACATTTTGGATAAAAAATAAAATCTAAAATCACAGAATATCAAGCTATAACAATAAAAAAAAATCATCAGAACCTGTAGGATAGGTTAAAGCAATGCTAAGAGTGTAACTCATAGTCTTGAATTCTTGAAAGAATGAAAAGAAACTTTCACATAAATATACCAAAAAAAAGCAACAATAACAAAACCCAAGAAATTAGAATTACAAAGCATATAAACTAATTAGATCAAGAAAAAAAAAAAAGAAGACACACAAAACCAGAAACAAGAATGAGAATGAAAACTAGCCACAGAATCCGAAATATTAAAAAGAATGTAAGATACATTATTTTCTTCAATTGTATGCAAAATTCTATGAAATAAATTATTACATAGGAGATTACAAAACCATCCAAAATGACCCCACGAGCGTCAGAAAATTAGATCAAACTACCAAATGAAATTGTTCCAGAACATAGAGACACCAAAACCAGAAAAAGGTAGTACAGAAAAAAAAAAATTATAAGTATCACTTATTCCGCTAATTCAAAATTCTGAAAAAAATAATAGCAAATATAATCCAGCAACACATTAAAAGAACAGTATATCATAACCAAATGAGATCTATTCCTGAACCAAAAGGATGACTGCATATTAGGAAATTTAATACAATATGACCCAGTACTTCAATTCACCATATTAATGGCTCAAAACAAAACAAATGATTGCCGTCGCATGGAATTCTGACTCCTAGCAACCCTATAGGACAAGGACAGAGTAGAACTGCCCCCATAGGGTTTCCAAGGCTGTAAATCTTTTCAGAAGCTGACTGCCACGTCTTTCTCCCATGGAGCAGCTGGTGGGTTCAAACCGCCAATCTTTAGGCCAGCAACTGAGCACTTCAAAAGGAGCCCTGGTGGTGCAGTGGTTAAGAACTGCATAGTCATCCCTATAAACACTTAAAATAAATAAAAGCTTAAAAAAAAATATTCCTGATAATCATTCTTAACATAGGAATAGTTGGATACTGTGCAGTAAAGAATTAACTTTACCCAGAGAGAGGTGAGGCCTTTATCTCTGGTTCCTGGGAGGGTAAACTCTAACCTCTTGGGATTTCCCAAGTGATTGGAGTGTGCATGCTATTCATGGTGGGCTCCTGGATATTTTATGCTATGATATGACTAAGAATGGGATCTGGCCACCAGAAAGACTAACCATGTGATTAGAAGGTTGGAGCTTGGAGCCAGTGATATCACCCCAACCTCTGAGCAAGGACAAGGGGCTGGAGATCAGGTTCAATCATGTGGCCACGGAGTCAGTCAATCATGCTTACTCAATGAAGCTTCAATAAAAACTCTGGACACTGAGACTTAGGTGAGCTTTACCGACTGACAATATTCTGTATTATCACATGTCGATGTGTTGCAAAGATGTGACAAGTTCTGACTCCATGAGGAGAGGATAATGAAAGCTTCATGCCTGGGACTCTCCTAGATCTTGCCTTATTCATCTCTCCCTTTGGCTGACTCTAATTCACATCTTTTTGCTATAATAAAATTCTAATCATAACTATAGTGCTTTCAGTGAGTTTTGTGAGTCATTCTGGCAAATTATCGAATCTGAGAGGGTAGTTTAAAAAAAAAAACAAAAAACCGTCGTGCTCGAGTCAATTCCAACTCATAGCAATGCTGTAACACAGAGTTGAACTGCCCCATAGGGTTTCCAAGAGGTGGCTAGTGGATTCGAACCGCTGATCTTTTGGTTAGCAGCCAAGTCCTAAGCACTCCGCCACCAGGGCTCCCCTAAATTCGTAGCCAGCTGGTCAAAAGTGAGGGTGGCTTGGAGACCCCTGAGCTTGTGGTTGCTGTCTGAAATCTCGGGCAGACAAGGTGTCCTGAGAATTGTGCCCTTAACTCTTAACTTGTGAAAGTTGGCTTAATTCTAGGAAGTTGGTGTCATTAGTACTCACACACACACACACACACACACACACACACACACACACACACGTGCATGGTGTAATACTAGAAGCATTAACGTTAAAATAAAAAATAAGGTAAGTATGACCACCATCACCTAGTACCTATTGTTCTGATACAATGAACACTCAATGAGGAAAAAAAAAAATTAGAAAGATGGTAAAATTATGATTTGAAGATGAGATGAAAAGCTAAGAGACTCAACTAAAAAAATTTTTAGAATCAGTAAGTGTTTAGGAAGCTTGCCAACTGTAAAATTAATCAACAAAAATCCATAGCTTTCTTATATACAAATACAAATTTCTAATACAAATTAGAAAACATACTGCGAGGAAAAAACTCTCATTTATAACAGAAACAAAAGAAATGAAATACCTAGCAATAAATTTAGTAAGAAATGCACAGGTTCTATACAAAGAAAACTTTAGAACTCTAAAGCTGACTTGAATAAATGGAACACATTCTTAGAGAAGAAGACTCTCAAGATTTAAAGGTGTCAATTCTTTCTGGACTGTGAAGGTAAAGATATATTAAAAAATGCCTACAATACTTCTTTCAGTAAAGTTCACACCAAAACAATAGATGTAAGTACTTGTCTGGAAAATTCTAGAAAAGAACATTAATAAGGGGATCTTGAGTCATACCACAAATTATTTGTATAAAATTACAGTATTTAAAACTCTTTGATACAGGTATAGAAACAGATGAATAAAACAAGAAACAAAGTCCAAAAACAGGCCCAAGTACAGATCAAAATGTTGCACGTAATAAAAATGGCATTTCAAATCAGGAGGGCAAAGACAAATTTCCTTAATACAAAAACAGCCCTTAGAAACCAGTGAGAAAAAGACTAACAACCTGATAGAAAAATGAGCAAAGAACAATTAGTTTACAGAAAAATATAAATGACTCAGACAAGGAAAAAATAGTTTTAGCCTCACTCAATTAAAGAGACGGAAACTGAGCGAAGGAAAAAGTTGTTACTTTTACCACAATGATGACAATGATCAAAAAGTAAGATAAAACACTTTCGGCTATTGTTGTTGGCTAGGGTATAGGGGAAAAGGTACTCCTTGTTTCATGGTCGTGGAAGTTTACATCATTTTAACCTTTTACAGACAATTTGGTAACATCTATTAGATTTCAAATGCCCTCTAATCCAGCAATTTCACTTCGATGAATTATTTTACAGGTCTATTCACAGACGTACACAAAGATGTCCTTACCTGGACATTATTTGACGTATTGTTTATAATCATGAAAGGCTAGAAATAATCTAAATGTCCATTAACAAGAAACCGGTCATATAAAATTGTGATTCACATATACTTTAAAATATTACGCAAGTAGAGTGATATTTGCTGTTATATAACAATCTTCAAGATATACTATTAAGGAGACTTACTTTTCATTTGTCTTCTCTTAGGCATTGTTGAATTTTAACTTTTTCTAACCATGTGTATGTATCACTTTCAAATACAAAAATTAGTTTAAAAAAGTTTTTACACAACATGACAAAAGGCAAAGAAATCTACAAATTAAAGTTAGTTGGTGTATATTCTACAATATAAAGAAGGAATAAAAGAAACATTTTACATAAACAGGCTGAAGATAGGGTGCCACTGTCTTTTGAATGCATGAAGTAAAACTGTCCTCTATTACAAAGTTTGATAACTGAAACACATTTTGTTAATATTCTTGATGTTTTAACGTAAGATTCATTCTTGTATAACTAAATGGAATTAGCCAGAGTACATTCTTCAACCTATTATTTTTCCCTCTTGAAAAAAAACTGAATAAACTCTAATCAGATAATTCACAGGTTTATATATATATATTTTTTAGTGCATTTGTCCAGAATGAATAAAATTTGAAACAACATGGAAAAGATAAAATACATAAAATAGAAAAAAACTTGCCGTATGTAGTATACTTAGTATCAAATCTCTCTAAATGCTCTATTAGGTGATCAAAATAGAGAAAAAGAATTGAAGAAATGTCTATCAATTATTTTACCTTAGTTTTAACAAAGTGCCTTTAACCCCTTTTCCTTGGTAATGGTAGCTTTTAAAAAAAAAATTCTAAAATAGACTGAACTTAAAAAACAGTCAGATTATGGCAATTTTTAAGTAGTTGCAAAGTAAATTCTATACTTAAGTTACATGTAAATTTGATTTTAACTATCCCACTTTCTGACTGCTTAATGAGCAACAGAAAGAAGTTACCTGAAGTTGATGGACAAATCCAGCATTAGGATTAATACAAAATCTTCTTTCTTGAACATAAGCAAATGCATCTCTGAAAAAAACAAAATAAATCTAATGAGATGGCATTAAGTTTTCATGAATTAATTTCAATTTTCAAGAATTTACCTAAAATAGGAACTTACTTAAAAATTTATCTAGAATGTGAAATCATACTCACACAACTTGTACTACAAAGGGGTACTGAGCTTTAGTGAAAAAAATCAACAGCATGGTCAGACTATGTATCACAGGTCTTCTCCTTACCAGGAGAATGATACCTACTTTTTGTTGCTATGAGGCTTAAATGAGATAAAAGTACCTATAATTGTATCTGGCACAATACCTGGAAGTTATTTTCACTACAGGCAGTCTCTGGGTTACAAACAAGATCCACTGTTGAGTGTGTCTTTAAGTCGAATTCGTAGGTAAATCAGAACAGGTGCATACAGTTCTTACTTACCCTTCCTTTAGTGCAAGAAATGCTCAAAGCCTTTTCAATGATTTAAAAGCTGCATGTGCAGCAAGTGACGGTGACTATGATGAAGAATATGTTTCGAGTATGGGTTGATTGAATCTTTTCAAAGTGAGGGCAAATTTACCTAACATTAAAGGGCAAGTATGAGCTGTCTGTAAGTCAGAGGTATGTTACCTGGGGACTTACTATATTAATATATTACAGACAAAATAACAAATAATGAGAATACATAAAAGGTGAAGTCCACCAATGTATGTTAAATCTTTTTCAATTACCTAAACAAGGCATTTGATTTCAAATAATGTTCCTTTAAGAACTGCTATTTTTAAGCACACTTTTCCATTATAAACATAAAGCGTACTGAACAATGTAAACAAGCATATAAATGTCTACTATGTGTTAGGCATGTGGATACAACGCTGAACATAGTGATGGAGGAGATGGTATAAGGACTAAGAGGCTGATGTAACACAAAGTTTAACTGGCCATGTAAAAAATTATTAAGGATCAAAAACCTTGGAGAGGTTTTGGGGGTAAGGTGATTGTATGATTAGATTTAATTTTTGAAAAGATCACTTCAACTGTAGTGTGGAGAACAAAATACACTGAAGAGGGAAAGAATAAATGAGATCACTAAGTAGGCTATTTTTGGAATAGTCCAAGGGAGATATGACTGAAGCTTAGATTAAGGGATTAGAATGGTGATGAAGGAGGAGATAAGTTTAAGATCTATTTTGTTGTTGTTGTTAGGTGCCACTGAGTCGGTTCCAACTCATAGAGACCCTGTGTACAACAGAACGAAACACTGCCCAGTCCTGCACCTTCCTCACAACCATTGTTATGCTTGGACCCATTGTTACAGCCACTATGTCAATCCATCTTGTTGAGGGTCTTCCTCTTTTTCGATGGCCCTCTACTTTACCAAGCATGATGTCCTTCTCCAGGGAATGGTCCCTCCTGATAACATGTCCAAAGTACGTGAGACTAAGTCTCGCCATCCTTGTTTCTAAGGAGCATTCTGGCTGTACTTCTTCCAAGCCAGATTTGTTTGTTCTTCTGGCAGTCCATGTTATATTGAATATTTTTCACCAACACCATAATTCAGAGGCATCAATTCTTTTTCTGTCTTCTTTATTTACTGCCCAGCTTTTGCATGTATATGAACGGACTGAAAATACCATGGCTTGGGTCAGTCCCACCTTAGTCCTCAAAGTGACATCTTTGCTTTTTAACACTTTAAAGAGGTCTTTTGCAGCAGATTTGCCCACTGCAATACGTTGTTTGATTTCTTGACTGCTGCTTCCATGAGTGTTGACTATGGATCCAAGTAAAATGAAATCCTTGACCACTTCAATCTTTTCTCCATTTATCATGATGTTGCTTATTGGTCCAGTTGTGAGGGTTTTTCCTTCCTTTATGTTGAGGTGTAATCCATACTGAAGGCTGTAGTCTTTGATCTTCATTAGTAAGTTACTTCAAGTCTTCTTCACTTTCAACAAACAAGGTTGTGTCATCTGCATATCACAGGTTGTTAATGAGTCTTCCTCAAATCCTAATGCTGCATTCTTCTTCATATAGTCCAGCTTCTCGGATTATCTGCCCAGCATACAGACTGAATAATTATGGTGAAAGGATATAACCCTGATGCACACCTTTCCTGACTTTAAACCACACAGTATCCCCTTGTTTTGTTCGAATGACTGCCTCTTGGTCTATGTACACAGATATATTTAGGAGATAAAATAGACAGGATTTGGTAATGGATCAGTGTGGAAGACAAGGGAGTGAGAGAGAGAGAGAGGTGTCCACGATGACTGTAAGATTTCTAACTTGTACAATAAGACACACTGAGAAAAGAAACACTGTACACTGGTCAGGTTGTTTGCCTTGCTTTGGAGGGAGAAGCTCATGAGACTATTTTTTTTAAGTTATGTGATATGCTTGGAAAAGATGATTTTGGATAAGAACGACTATACTGAAGTGAATAGAAGCTATACACAAATCCTAGGTAATTTTTCATCCAACTGCTATCACAGGGAAACATAATAAAAAGTCTTTTAAACGATGAAAGCTACTAATAAACTTTGTGTCCGAGAGTTTTTAAATTCAGACTAACCAATTCCCTAGTGGTAAATTTAAGTAGTATTCCATCAGTGTTACTTTGGTTTTTTAAAATAACAAGTTAGTACTAGCCTCATAAAATGAAAAAATACTGGCCTAAGCAGACCTACAAAGGTTAAGAGACTACTATGTGATATAACAGCCTGCCTTAATCAAATACGACTGGATTACATAATCACAGGAAATATTAACTTCAAACTCCAAATCATCTCTTAAGCTTCATTTTAATGAGACTTTAAATTGTGTCTAGGTTTCAGAGTACTTTCTTTTATTTTCCTTTATTGTACTTTAGATGAAGGTTTACAGAACTAGTTTCTCATTGAACAGTTAGTACACATACTGTTTTATGACACTGCTTAACAACCCCAAGACATGTCAACACTCTCCCTTCTCAAACTTGGGTTCCCCATTACCAGCTTTCCTGTCCCCTTCTGCCTTCTAGTCCTTGACCCTGGGCTGTTGTGAGTCTTTAGTCTCATTTTGTTTTATGGGCCTGTCTAATTTTTGGCTGAAGGGTGAACCTCGGGAGTGACTTCATTACTGAGCTAAAAGAGTGGCCAAGGAGGGCCATACTCTTGGGGTTTCTCCAGTCTCTGTCAGGCCAGTAAGTCTGGTCTTTTTTTTTGAGTCAGAATTTTGTTCTGCATTTTTCTCCAGCTCTGTCTGGGACCCTCTATTGTGATCCCTGTCAGAGTAGGCACTGGTGGTAGTTGGGCACCACCTAGTTGTACTGGACTCAGTCTGGTGGAGGCTGTGGCAGACGTGGTCTATTAGTCCGTTGGACTAATCTTTCCCTTCTGTCTTTAGTTTTCTTCATTCTCCCTTGCTCCTCCTGAAGGGGTGAGACCAGTGGAGTATCTTAGATGGCCACTCACAGGCTTTTAAGACCTCAGATGCTACTCATCAAAGTAGAATGCAGAACATTTTCTTTATAAACTATGTTATGCCAATTGAGCCAGATGTTCCTCGAGACCACGGTCCCCACAGCCCTTAGAGTACTTTACCTGTACTTCATTCCAAATGTTTCCATAATGTACGCAATAACAAAGGCAGCACTGAAGAAAGGAAAAAAATTTTAGAAAAAAAAAACATAAAAAGTACAATTCATTAATTACATGTTACAGAAATAAAGATTATTTCTAACTTCATACCTCCTAGAGATCCCTGCATTTCCATGGACAAGAACTTTTCCTGAAAAAAAGAAAGAGTTATTCTAATAGAAAAATACCTCATTCAACAGTTAAAATATGCTAAAAACCAAATATCAAACCATAGTAAAACAATTTTTTTCTTAAATGTTTTATATCATATACATGTTTTTATTGTTGTTATGTGCCATTAAGTCAGTTCCAACTCATAATAACCCTATGCACAACACAATGAAACACTGCCCCATCCTGTGTCATCCTCATAATTGTTGCTATGTTTGAGCCCATTGTTGTAGCCACTGAGTCAGTCCATCTTGCTGAGGGTCTTCGTCTTTTTCGCTGACCCTCTACTTTACCCAGCATGATGTCCTTCTGCAAGGTCTGGTCCCTCCTGATATCATGTCCAAAGTACATGAGATGAAGTCTTGCCATCCTCGCTTCTAAGGAGCATTCTAGCTGTATTTATTCCAAGACAGACTTGTTCATTCTTCTGGCAGTCCATGGTATATCCAATATTCTTTGCCAACACCATAACTCCAATTCATCAATTCTTCGGTCTTCCTTCCTCATTGTCCAGCTTTTGCATGCTTATGAGGTGACTGAAAATACCATGGCTTGGGTCAGGCGCACCTTAGTCCACAAAGTAACATCTTTGGTTTTTTTTTTTTAACACTTCAAAGAAGTCTTCTGCAGATTTGCTCAAAGCAATATATCATCTGATTTCTTGATCACTGCTTCCATGGGTGGTGATTGTGGATTCAAGTAAAATGAAATCCTTGACAATTTCAGTATTTTCTCTGTTTTTTATGATGTTGTTTATTGAACCAGTTGTGTGGATTTTTGTTTTCTTTATGTTGAGGTGTAATCCATACTGAAGGCTAGTCTTTGATCTTTATCAGTAAGTGCTTTGCCCTCTTCACTTTCAGCAATCAAGGTTGTATCACCTGTATATTGCAGGTTGTTAATAAGTCTTCCTCCACTTCTGGTGCTGTGTTCTTCTTCATATAGTCCAGCTTCTCGGATTATTTGCTCAGCATACAGACTGATAAGTATGGTGAAAGGGTACAACCATGACGCACACCTTTCCTGATTTTAAACCATGCAGTATCCCATGTTCTGTTCAAACGACTGCCTCTTGGTTTATGTACAGGTTCCTCATGAGCACAATTAAGTGTTCTGGAATTATCATTCTTCACAATGTTACCCATAATTTGCTATGATCCACATAGTTGAATCCCTTTGTATAGTCAACAAAACACAGGTAAACATCTTTCTAGTATTCTGTTTTCAGCCAAGATCCATCTGACATCAGCAATGATATCCTTCCTTTCATGTCCTCTTCTAAATCTGGCTTGAATCTCTGGCAGTTCACTGTCAATGTACTGCTGCAACTGCTTTTAAATTATCTTCAGTAAAATTTTATTTGTGTGTGATATTAATGATATTGTTCAATAATTTATGCATTCTGTTGGATCACCTTTCTTTGGAATAGGCACAAATACGGATGTCTTCCAGTCGGTTGGCCAGGTAGCTGTCTTCCAAATTTATTGGCACAGACGAGTAAGGGCTTCCAGCATTGCATACATTTGTTGAAACATCTCAATTGGTATTCTGTCAATTCCTAGAGACTTGTTTTTCGCCAGTGCCTTCAGTGCATCAGTGCAGCTTGGACTTCTTCCTTCAATACCATTGATTCTTTATCAGAGGCTACCTCCTGAAATGGCTGTAAGGTTGACCAATTCTTTTTGGTACAGTGACTCCATGTATTCCTTTCAGCTTCTTTTGATGCTTCCTGCATTCTTTAATATTTTGCCCACAGAATCCTTCAACATTGCAACTCAAGGCTTGAAGTTTTTCTCCACTTCTTTCAGCTTGAGAAACATGTTCTTCTCTTTTGGTTTTCTAACTCTAGGTCTCTGTGCATTTCATTATAATATTTTACTTTGTATTCTTGAGCTGCCCTTTGAAATCTTCTGTTCAGCTCTTATACTTCATTTCTTCCATTCGCTTTACTCTACATTGAAAAGCAAGTTTCAGAGTCTCTTCTGAAATCCATTTTGGTCTTTTCTTTTTGTCTTTTTAATGTTTTGCTTTCTTCATCTATGATGTCACTGATGTCATCCCACAACTTGTCTGGTCTTTAGTGTTCAATGTGTCAAATCTATTCTTGAGATGGTCTCCAAATTCAGGTGGGATACACTCGAGGTTGTACTTTCGCTCTTGTGGTCTTGTTTTACTTTTCTTAAGCTTCAACTTGAACTTGCATATGAGCAACTGATGATCTGTTCTGCAGTCAGCCCCTACCCTTGTTCTGACTGATGATACTGAGCTTCTTCATTGTCTCTTTCCACAGATGTAGCTGATTTGATTCCTGTGTATTTCACCTGGTGAGGTCCACATGTACAGTTGCTGTTTATGTTGTTGAAAAATGGTATTTCCAAAGAGTAAGTCATTGGTCTTGTAGGTCTTCTAGAATTCTATGATGTGATCTTCAGCGTAGTTTCTATCACTAAGGCCTTAGTTTCCAACTACTGATCCTTCTTTGTTGCCAACTTTCGCATTCGAGTCACCAGTAATTATCTATGCATCTTGACTGCATGTTTGCTCAATTTCAGACTGCAGAAGTTGATAAAAAATCTTTAATTTCTTCATCTTTGACCTTAGTGGTTGGTGTGTAAATGTGAATAACAGTCGTATTAACTGGTCTTCCTTATAGATGTATGAATATTATCCTATCAATGACAGCGTTATACTTCAGGATAGATCTTGAAATTTTTTTTGTCAATGAATGCGATGCCATTCCTCTTCAATTTTTCATTCACAGCAGAGTAGACCATATGACTGTCTAATTCAAAATGGCCAATACCAGTCCATTTCAGCTAGCTAATGCCTAGGATATCGATCGTTCAAGCATTCCGTTTCATTTTTTATAACTTCCAATTTTTCTTGGTTCATACTTCATACTTTCCACATTCTGATTATTAATGGATGTTTGCAGCTGTTTCTTCACATTTTGAGTCGTGTAAGCACCATAGTACAACAAACTGACAGACGAGTGGTGGATGACATACATACCACTTGGATATTTATTAATTTCAAATCTCTACTATTTATTTACACTAGTTGTGTAGAGAATACAACAGACTTTTAGATTAAAGAGATTTAATGCTGAAACAATTTGAAACCAGTGCCGTAGGGGTATTTAAAAAAGGCTATCCAAATGACACAGTAGCTTGGAAAACAGAAATTTAGGAATACTCTATTATATTTAATTACAACGTCCATATTCTGTACTTAAAGCTGAAAAAATAACTGTAACAAATAAACTTTCCTGAAAATAAACATTAGCTGAGTAAAGGAAATATCGTTTACCTCCAGTTTGCAAGCTCCCATCAATAAACTCTTTAGTCTGAAGGCAAAAGACAATGGGTTATAATAAAACATACAGATCAAAATAAGCATAAAATACAAAAATATACTGAAAATAATAAATTTCCAGCTAATTTATATGAATAGAAGTTATTTTAATTTAAGAATTTCCAAAATGCTACAAATACAATTATTAGAAAGTTTAAAAAGTTATACAGGAGCTAAAATTTAATTTGAATATAATAAATTCAAGATGTGATTTCTCATACTTTTAGAGATCATAAGAAACATCTCTACAAAGAATTCACTTTCTTTAAAATGTTATGTCATGATTTTCAATCACAAGAAACTAAAAGCAGTATAAGAGGGAATTACGTTTCACAAGGATTAAGCTGTAGAACTACGATTAGGAGGTCAAATCATAAAATAAATTTTAAATGATATTAAAATGTTGATACCTACCATTGGGAAAAAACGTATTATATTTTCAACTGGATTATCTGCAATATCCAAGACTAAATATCTGAAAACAGAATATTTTGTTACAAGCACAATTTCAGATAAAACTCTCCTTCTGTGTAAAAAAAAGAAACTTTGAAAATTTCTTGGCAACCAGCAAAAAATCTTCCTCTAGATCAGAGTGGACCCAGAAAACAAAGACTGTAAGTCCTTGTCATCTCTGCTGTTATTCTTCTATTTCTAGCAACCTCCCTAGGACCAGAAGATTCTTCTCTAAGTAGCCCTACGACCTCTCCTCATAATCCTACAGACGACAGCTGAGATGAAGGCTCAAAGTCTGAAAGAAAAGGAGCTCATAAAACAGAATGCAGCAGTTTGATGAAATAGTCATTGTTTTCTAAGAGACCACCTGTCCTGGAATTTTATACTTTGGAAAACATTTAAAGTAAGGCATTATTAATATGTGAAGCTTACTCCATTTTGTGAAAAAGTTCCACTTTTAACCTACCTACCCAGGACCACCATTTTACTAACTAAAAAATCAAATTAAGAAATTAATTTTTTAAGTCAATATTCCTTTAAAAATTGCACTTCCTTAATGATCATTTAGGTAGTGACAAATAAATTCAGGGCTTATCACAGAAAGTCAAAGCTAAGGATCTGAGGAAAGTCCAATAGAAAAACTACAAGGATTCTGACAATGGCTCTATCTTGAAGTGATTGGGTAGACATAGATGCTATACAAAATACTACTTCAGAAAAAAAAAAGTTAATTCAAACTAAGACATTTTACTGCATGCCATTCTGAATGTCAGAACTACTAGAACTATCACCAATCTATAAGAAGCTAGTATCCTAAGTCTAAGGATAAACAGCCTGTACCCAGAACATTACTAACTAAAAATAAAAATTCTGTACAAATTATAAATGTAATAGCATGGTATTTTAAAATACACTGCCATTTTCTTTAATATACACAAGTTTATATGTAAACATAGACACAAACAGCAGAGAGAGATTTAGAAAGAAATATTCCAAACCGTTAACTAAAGCTGTTTTTTCTGGACCATAGAATTATGAATGAGTTTTAAATATTTTTCTTGGTGTCATTCTATATTTATTAAAATATCTATAAAGGACAGTATTTCTTTTACAATTAGAAAACACTCAATATATTTTACGTTAGAATATACCAAACAAGACCCATTGCCGTTGAATTAATTCTAACTCATAGCGACCCTATAGGGCAGAGTAGAACTGCCCAATAGGGCTTCCAAGGAGCGGCTGGTGGATTTGAAATGCTGACGTTTTGGTTAGCAGCCCAGCTCTTAACCACTGCGCCACCAGGGCTCCATATGTATGTATGTATGTTTGTACATATATGTATATATGCATATATATACACACGTATACATACATATATGTTTTGAATATTTTTTAAACACACTGAAAGCATACACATGGTTCTGCATCTTGCTTTTTCATGTAATAAATCTTAGAAATTATTCCATATCAACACATAGATGTACTTCATTCATTTTCACAGTTACACAGTATTCTACTGCATATTTAAACAACATATTTTCCAGTATGTTGATGAACATTTAGGTTGTTTTCATTTTTACAAACAATAAAGCAGAGCACTGAAGTATTTTTACTATATATGCTTTTATACAGATACAGCATCTCTAGGAGGATATTCAAGGAAAAGTTAATAGTAGCCATCTACCAGGAGGAAAGCTGGGTGTTTGGGTTTAGAGGAGAGAGACTTACTTTCATTATATACCTTTATGTATCCTTTGACCTTTGTGTCATCTGTAATATACTCTTTATTTTAAAAACTTTTAAAATCATTTTTGAAAAGTTAAAGAATATTAAACACCATTAGGTGCTCAACCTCATTCATTATAAGATAAATAGAAAGCCAAATTAAAATTATGAGACACCATTTTTACTCCACCAGACTGGAAAAAATGTAAAATGTTTTATAATTCTGTCCTGGTGAAATACCAAGGAAAGAGTCACTTTCATACACCTGATACTGGGAACATAAAATGATACAACTCTCTGGAGGGTAAGTTGCAACATCTACTAAAATTCTAAGAACCAGCAATTCTACTTCTACAAATTTATCCTATAGATATTTAAAAACAAAACAAAAAACCAAACCTGTTGCTGTCGAGTCGATTCTGACTCAAAGTGACCCTAAAGATACACTCACATATTAACTGACGTATATACAGGGACACTCACTATACGCTGTATTAGCAAAAGTCTGGAAACAATCTAAATGTCCATCAATAGGAAACTGATTGAATAAATATATACATAAACATGCTTGCATATGCAACACATAACTCTGGAAGGATACTCAAGAAGAATTAATAGTGGATGGCTCTAGGGAGGAGAATCAAGTATATAGGTGATAGGAATAGGAAAACCTACTTTCAGTATACATTCTTTCGTACCCTTTGAATTCCACATTATGTACATGAATTACCTATTTAAAGTTTTTTTAAATAAAATTTCTTTTTAAAATTATGTACTGTATGGCCCATCTTTGCAAAATAGATATGTAGAGAATAGTCTCATAGAATAAAATAAACTTGAAATAAAAACTACATTAGATGTTTGCTACACTTAACATTTTTACAAATCAGAGCAACAATTCTTACCTAAATAATTGTTGGAAGTTTGGTTTAATAAAGTTTGCTTCAATATTTTGTCTTATGCATATTATGTGGGTTATTCCATGTTTCTGTAGTATAGGCAGCTATAAAGAAAGAGGGGGACAGGTGAGAGCAGTAGTTTTAAAATAGAAAACATTATCTTAGTATAACAAGGCTGTATGAAAATAAATACACAGGACCCAACATAGAAATAATAACCACTCTCGAAACAATGAGTCTTAAGTATGGAGGATTAAATTTAATTTCATAATAATATATCTCAAGTGATCAGCAAGATATTTCAATGATTGAAGATTAATACATTACATGTCCTCAAAAGGTTAAAAGGCATATTTTCATCTAAAATTTTACAGCTAGATGGGATCTTAATCTATTTGGGAAATAGTACTACACAGTGGGTAAAAGTATAGGCTTTGTAGTCATGACAGGCCAAGCTTTACATTCTACTTCTGCTAATGACTTGAGTTCTAATGCCTAGCTTCCTCGTGTGAAAATGGTGAAAACACTACCTATTCACTGAGTGGTTTTGAAAATTATATAATATAGGTAAAGTGTTTAGCATAGTGCTTGTCACATGTCAAGTGTTTAGTAAATGGTAGTTATATACATAGACTATACCCTTTCTTCTTTTGGAGAGACTACTAAGACATACAACACTTAAATTAGTAACTAGTTCATTACCACTGACCTAATTAATATTAGTACCAAAGCTCAACTCTCTAGACTACTATGTACCCTTTTCGGTACATTTTTTCTACTACAAGCCAGAATTAATTTATACAATTCACAGACTCTAATCAACCATTCACTGGTTTAAAATTCTCCTGAAGTTAAAAATGTCAACTCTAATGATATTATATCCTGTAGTACTTTTTTTCCCCATTTATCTTTAAAGCAATTTAACATGACAACTCTGGAAATTACCAAATAATAAATTTTTATTTCTAAGTGATTATAGGGTTCAGTGAGTTTATAGATATCTTGTTATTTTACTAGCTAGAATGTAAATTCCATGAGAGCAAGAATTTTTTGTTTGTTTGTTCACTGATTTATATTACGTATGTGTAGCAGTGCCTGGCACATAGTAGGTATTCAATAAATGAATGAAAACTCATGCTGGAATGAAGAATCAGAATAAACTTGTATTTCCTATGACACTTTCAATTTATGATCCTATATATTTAATTCCCACTTTCTACATTAAATAGTCCAGAACTAAAATTCACAATAGAAGTCAAAGAATAATTCCATGGATTTCGAAAGTTATAAATGTTAATTTTCACAGTACATTTTCCTATGTCTGGCATAGATTAGAGTTCAATTATTTTTGTATTTCCTCAGTACAATCTGAGTTATAGGAAGGTAGGTAAGGATTTAAGCTAGGATTAATCATCAGCCAGTGTTCCATATTCACATTTATGTCAAACCTCCAAAATGAATTCAATATTCATTCCTTTGTTTACACTTGATGATCTAGGATAGCGTTCCCATATCTACTTAATTAACGTGAGAAACTAAAAGAGGCCATATATAATTATGGATAAAGTCCTGTTTTAACAAGTAAGAAGGCATCTAACAACGACAACAAGTAAAAAACAAACCTTGTCAAAATAGAACCCTAATGTAAGAGCAAATATTTTGTATTTTTCAGTGGATTTTTTGTTTATATAAAACAAATTATGACTTTATCTATACCTACAAATAATAGAGAAATTTTACAAAAGAAATAGTTTACTAGTTTCAAAGAGCCTAAATTTACCTTTTATTAAAACTGTATTTGAATTTAATAAAAACATAGGCTTAAGTAAATGAATTTTTGAAAAGAGGAGTTCATTCCTTAAGGTTTCTTTATCCCTATTATTATTAGTTTGATAAAAGATAACTTTTGGATAATGGTATGAAAAGAAAAAGGAGTATACTATGGGGACTCAGGTTAGGAGACATCGAATTTTGTCACAGAAGAAACAAGGTCTTTTCCTAAGTCTAATAAAACAGTGGTGAAATTGAGGGGAAAGAAGTTGTGAGTAGACAGATCCGTAAACAAATACTTATAATGTAACATGAAAAATACTGTAATAGGTATATTTATAAAGCATAGTGTGAATACAAAAAGAAAATCGTCTGAAAAACATGTTGAAGGCCAGTACTTTGTGAATACTACATAACTGAGAAATAACTTTGTTTCTATTTGCCATTTACAAAGTAAGGCACAGTTAAATCTATAGTCACCTGCCTACCCTTTCCCTAATACTTAAAAAAAAAAAAAAAATTGTTGTTGAGTCGATTCCGACTTATAGCGACCCTATAGGACAGAGTAGAACTGCCCCATGGGGTTTCCAAGCCTGTAATCTTTACGGAAGCAGACTGCCAACTGCCACATCTTTCTCCTGTGGAGCTGCTGGTGAATTGAAACTGCCCACCTTTTGGTTTGCGGCCAAGCACGTAAACACTGCACCACCAGGGCTCCTTCCCTAATACTTGACCACCAAATAAAGGCCATCAAAATGACCGGGCATTACCTCTTTGTTATGCCTCAACAGTCAAAAAACCTTTCAATTTCAAAAGGACTGACTTTAACTTTTAAAAACTCCTGTTCACCTAAAATTCATAAACATATCAAATTATAAAATGAATGCTTAAAACTCTAGTTATTACAAAATTAACTGTAGGTAGATACCATAACTGAAGTATAAAACCAAAACCAAACTTCTTGTTGTTGAGTTGATTCCAACTCATAGTGACCCTATAGGACAGAGTAGAACTGACCCATAGTGTTTCCAAGGCTGTATATCTTTACGGAAGCAGATTGCCACATCTTTCTCCTGTGAAGCAACTGGTGGGTTTGAACTGTGACCTTCTGGTTAGCAGCCGAGCACTTAACCACTGTGCCACCAGGGCTCCTAACTTAAGTATACCGACTTCTAAATAGCCAAAGTTTGAGGAAACCATCTGAGAGACAGGATTTCTAATTCAAAGAGAACTAGTAATGTTGTTATAAGCAAAGAAGTGTTAGCACTGGTTAAATCCTCTAGGAAGTGGCAACAACACTGCTACATGTATTAAAATCAGACTCTACCATTTTAACTGTGTTAACTGAAGCAGCCCATTAATTCAGTTAATTCTACAGGACATCTATATAGTGCAATGCTTTCTAACTGAGAGCACCCAGATCTCTGAAGTCTGCAAAAACAGAAATGAGACTTGAGTCACTTTCAATTAAAACACAAACAAACACAAACACACACACACACACACACACACACACACACACACACACACACTCTTACCATTAATAAGGCATGACCAATAACTAAAATGTTATTTCCTTATTTTGGGCTTTAACTGTATCTCAAACTATTCAGAAGCTATGATGAGTAATTACAGATGTCTAATATTTCAGAGGGTAAATAAAGTATTAAATAAAGGCCAATTGTTTGGTAAACCTTTCACCATGGATTTTAAAGGAAAAATAAAATATAAGAACTCATTTGTGATTTGTGGTGAAATTCTTAAGAACCACTGATCCAGTAAAACTGAGAAAGAGGCAGACACTCCAGAGTGACAATTAGTGTTAACACAAAATATCTGAAGACGTGCTATAAAATAGAACTATCGCTACTAAAAACTCTCCAGAAAAGTTGGTTAATAAAGTCTCTTGATGAACCTAAAGCTCATACCTTGCTTTTCATAGCAGAAGAATATGGGCCTAAAAATAATCCAGGTAAAATTTCCTAGGGAAAAAAAGAGACAGAAAGATATTTACTATCAGCAAACTAAATCTACACACTATACAGATCATAAAATCGGATTTGTGTGGTGTTTTCATAGCTGTTATAATAATTTGCTTAAAAGCTATCTATTTAGGCAGTATTTCCTAGCCACACTGAGCAAATGATTGGGAAGAAAAACGCAGATGTCCTTTATAATATGAAATGAGACATTTAAAGTTTAATATAGGTCTGAAAAGTCGGGTATTTCAAGTGCATACTGCTTTTTATAAGCAGTTTGGATAGAATCTGAACATTGTATTGTTGCCTTTTAGATTAATAAAACCTCTTCAAATAAAATTTTACTTCTATTCCATGGTATTATCTAGAAAACAGGCATAAAGAAAATCAACTCCCTGGATTACATAAAACTATTTAGCCAAATCAAAAGTAGCACAAGATAAAACAGGATTAAAAATTATTTATGATTAATAGAAGTAATACTATAATCACAAAGTTAAAAAAAAAAAAAAAGACCAATATCAACTGTTTGCCTTCTGACAGAGTTTTAACAATTTAAATAATTACCTTTCAAATGCTGAATTCAAATTTATTCTTTGTAATTTCAATATAGAAAGCTTTTAGTCTGGATATATCATACCTTAAACATTAATATAGTATGATCTTATAGTTCAGTTGTACAAAACAGTTGCTGTCAAGTCTATTCTGACTCACGGCAACCCTATGTGTGTCAGAGTAGAACTGCGCTCCATAGGGTTTTTATCGGCCAATTTTTCAGAAGTGGATTGCCAGGCCTTTCTTCCAGGGCAACTCTGGGTAGACTTGAACTATTAACTTTTCGGTTAGCAGCGGAGTATGATAACCGTTTGCACCTCCCAGGAACTTCTGTAAGATATCATAATTATTTGGGAGCAGGTCTAATTTCTACCAGTTTCTTGTGGGAATTATGTTTTACTAATCTCTGCATTCCCCATAGCACACACACACAAAATGTCTCATAGGTACTTACATATTTTAAAACAATGAATTTTCACTAAGAGAAAGGAAACAGACTTTTAGAAGTCAAGGGATTTCCGGGAATAGGAGACACTGTTTGATTCTGGGGCTAGCAGAGATGACTGCAAATGCTATGAAATGCAAAAGAAAAATGAATTGCTATGTGGGTTAGCTATCATTTTAACTTCTTCCAAACTGGACTTAATTACAGAAACTGATTGGAAATCAGTATCTGAAAGACTGATTTGCTTTAGAGTCAAGTCTTCTGAACTTATCTAGACAAATACAGAAAAGCAAACTGCATATAAGGCTAATATTGCACTTATACTTTCAAAGGAAATACAAAGTTCTACTCTAAGAAAAAGACAGCAATTCATTTTCCGAATTCTTTTTTTTTTTATAAATTTTTTACATATGAAACTTTATTATTGGTCTCTTGAAACTATAACTCACATGATGTGTAGCTATAACAGATTTTTATAATTATTCTATAGTTATAAACAATGTAGAAGACATACTTCAGGCCAACATTTTTTGGCTCTTCTAACATTTTAAGCAATATCTGGCAATTTAAATGAAACCTGTAGATCTACAATTAACCAAACATAAAGTACAAATCAATATTGTTGTCGTTAGTTACCATCCAGTCAGCTCCAACTCATAACAACCTTCTGAACAGCAAAACGAAATGTTGCCTGGTCCTATGCCATCTTATCATAATGAGATAATCAACATTAATACCCCCAATATTTATTCTAAAATATATTTGTAGGAAGTACACTTATTTTTTTTTCTAAATTTTATCTGACAAATTAAGCTGTTTTTACTGGATAATTTTTCTGAAACAAAAAATTAACAAGAATCTATTATCCTTTTAGAATAAAAATGATGAATCGTCACTTTCTTTCAAACAGCATTTTGATATGACTCTTCTATAACAAAAGTATTTCTCTTAATTCATGTTTCTATGATTTGAGGCTAGAATAAAAATTCAAAAAAAATTTTTGTTCCCTTTCCTCAGTAATATTCTTTTTCTTTCTCTTCCTACGTGTTTTATCCTTACCTTCTGGTTCTTTCTTGTCTGACTTTCCTCTTGTTCTACTTTTCGTTGTACCCTTCTTTGGCTTTCTTGTATCCTGACTGATGGTCCCTGGGAGCATAATGGCTATGGACCACAGACCCTGAGCCAGACCCCTGGCTCTACTTTGCTATCCAGCTTTCAAACTTTCTGGAGTCTAGTCTGCTCTAATACCTCCCACAGCCCTGGGCTCAAACTTGCGCTGACTTTCGAGCCTTAGTCCTTGCCTTGCCCCTAGGTCCAAGCACTCCCTGTTCTCTCTTGACCCTCTCTACTTTACAGCAGTCATCTGTCCACCTGCATATCAAAATCATGAGACTGTTAATGTTTCCAAAAACGAACTGTGTCTTATGCATAGTGAATCTCCACTGTCTGGCAGAGTGCCTTTCAAAAAACAGATATTTAATAAGTAATTGCTAAATCAAATGAAAGAACGAAGAAGTGACTGAATGCAAGGAATGAATGTTGAAAAGATTATGACTGAATACCTGGTAAAATTACAATGTTTATATTTGAGAAAATAACTTTTTCTTACTCCAGCCAAAGCACCTAAACATTGATGCTGTCTTAAGCATCTTGCATGTATTATATGTGAACCTTATAGCAACTCTGCACATTTTCCCTTTTTTTTAAGATCCAAGATTAACCTTACTATATGTGAATATTTAAAATACTCAGTGGTGAACCTACAGATCACGAGTCAGCAGGTCTCAAATCTTCTGTGAAGTGAGGTCACATTATTTAATAATGATAATAATAATACAAGTTGGCTTGAAAAGAAAAATAACTTGTCATACCTGCATCTCTCGTCTCATAGGATAGGACCACTCCTTAAAAAAAAGAAAAACCAAGGGTAAAAGTAAATAACAATATACAAATGTCACCAATTACAGGTTAAAGATGTGACACACAAGTGTGTGGATTTTTAAAAATTATACTTTAAGAACATTCTATAGAAATAGCAGATACAGCTGGCTTTGCAAACACCTGAAAATTTAAGTGTCAAGAAACAAAGATAAGGGAGGCGGAGCCAAGATAGCAGAGTAGTCAGATGCTTCCAGTGGACCCTCTTACAACAAAGACCCGAAAAAACAAGTGATCCGATCATATATGGCAATCTGGGAGCCCTGAACATCAAAGGCAGAGTTGAGGAACCAGACTGAGTGGCAGGGGGAGGGACAGACAGTTCGGAAGCAGCGAGGAGTTCCAGACCTGACCTGGTGAGAACCTGAGCCCTTCAGGCCTGATCAGCTTGCGGGTGAGTGGTGAGGCAGGCAAGAAGCCCTGCTCGAGAGGTGCATTTTCCACACCAGGAGAGATCCAGAACCAGAGTCGACTCGGCCACCCAGAATGAGTGAGAAGCAGCCCTCATGAGTGAAAAATAAGTAATTACATATGGCCTACCACGCCGATCAAAAACACCCTCCTTAGAGAAAAATCTCTCTCCCATTTACCTCCCCGCTCCCTGCTCTGCACTGGGTCCCAGACCGGCTTAAGCAATCGCCAAGTCCCCTGGGCCGGAAGTAGGATCCGTCACACGCCCGAAGCCACTCTCCCTGCCTTGGAAAGTGAACAAATCAACAAACTGGAAAAAATAAACTGCCAGCTCCCCTAAGCCAGGAACCAGGAACCCAGGGTAGGCACAGCTCCTTTGCCTAGGCACAGGCATAAGGGATCCATGGACTCTGAGTGCCTCTCCCCCTGCAGAGGCTTGTGTGGGCCTATCTCAACAGTGTAGGCCCTCATTACCACAGTACAACAGGGTATATACCGGAACTCTAACTTCAACTGTTTCGCTGTGAAGTGGCAGGTTCTTGACATTTGACACTGCTCTGCCCATTAAGCAGGGTCTTCACCTACCCACATCAGGGACTGGTGGTTCCACCTAGCCACCTGCCATAAGGGCCCATGAATAAGAGGTGTCCCTCAGTCCTTACAGCCATTAGGTGCTCATTGTCTGGCTGCAAAACCCACCCACTTACGTGCTCTAGGGAACAGAGACATGCCTTCCTCCTGGACACTCGGGTGCAGCCGTCAGCCCCCTGCTTTGCTTAGAGTGAGTCCTCCTGCTGAAGCCTGATGCCTGTGCCTACACCAATCACCAATACCTGTCTAGGACAGTAAGTTGAGAGCCTACACCACACATTTGGTGGCTATCTACCTGGGCACCTGAGCTGAATCCATACAGGAGGAGTGCGCGGACCCTGAGCTCACATACCTAGTAACTGATCTAACCACCTGGTGACAGGACATTAGAGTTTCAAATGTGCCAAAAATCAAACTAGCTCATACAAGCAGTCTATTTGGGCATATTAAAACAAAACAAGAAGCTAGGACACAGTAAGCAAACATAAAATAAATAAATATAATAACTTATTAACAGCGCGGAGACAACAGTCAATATCAAATCACATAAACAGGTAATCCATGATGGCTTCAGCAAGCTCCCAAATAAAGAATCTAGAAATTTTCCAGAGGAGGAAAATTTCTTGGAATTAACGGAGGCAGAATACAAAAGATTAACATACAGAACTCTTCAAGAAATTAGTAAAGAAAGTAAACAAAATGCAGAACATGTAATAGAGGAAACTAAAAAGATTAGAGAAGAGCATAATGACAAACTTAACAGGCTGCAAGAACAGACAGACAGACAACAATCAGAAATCTAGAAGATTAACAATAAAATTTCAGAATTAGACAATTCAATAGAAAGTCAGAGGAGCAGAACTGAGGCAACGGAAGTCAGAATTAACGAGATTGAAGACAAAGCACTTGACACCAACTTATTTGAGGAAAAATCAGATAGAAGGATTTAAAAAATGAAACCCTAAGAATTCTGTAGAACTCTATCAAGAAGAATAACCTATGAGTGATTGGACTACCAGAACAGGAGGGGATAACAGAAAATACAGAGAGAATTGTTGAAGATTTGTTGGCAGAAAACTTCCCCGATATCGTGAAAGACGACAGGATATCTATTGAAGTGCTCATCGAACCCCACATAAGGTAGATCCCAAAAGAAAGTCACTAAGACATATTATAATCAAACTTGCCAAAATCGAAGATAAAGAGAGAATTTTAAGACTGGCTAAGGATAAAAAAAAAAAGTCATCTACAAAGAAAAGTCAGTAAGAATAAGCTCGGACTACTCAGCAGAAACCATGCAGGCAAGAAGGCAATGGGATGACATATATACAGCCTTGAAGGAAAAAAACTGCCAGCCAAGAATTATACATCCAGCAAAACTGTCTCTCAAATACGATGGCAAAATTAGGGCATTTCCAGAGAAACACAAGTTTAGGGAATTTGCAAAAACCAAACCAAAATTACAAAACATACTAAACTGAGTCCTCCAGATAGAAAATCAATAACATCAGATAACAGCCCAAGACTAGAACACAGGACAGAGGAACCAGATATCAACCCAGACAGGGAAGTCACAAAAGTAAATCAAACCTACAACACTGGAAATAGGGAAACAGATGTCAATATGTAAAAGATGACAACATTAAAACAAAAAAGAGGGACTTAAAAAATATATAGGTTTTTTATATGGAGAGGAAGTCAAGGCGATATAAAGAAATAAAAGACTAGTGTAAACTTAGAGACATAGGGGTAAATGTTAAGGTAACCACGAAGGAAACTAACAACCATACAAGTCAAAATTCAAAAACTAGAAAAATACAAAGACTTATTAGCAAACACAAACTCAACAACAATGAAAAAGATGAAAAGAAAATACATAAAGAAAAATGACTCAGCACAGAAAATTAAGTGGAACAAAAACTGTGAACAACACACACACAAAAACATCAAAATGACAGCACTAAACTCATACCTATCAATAATTACGCTGAATTTAAATGGACTAAATGCACCAATAAAGAGACAGACAGTGGCAGATTGGATTAAAAAAAACACCATCTGTCTATATGCTGCCTACAAGAGTCACACCTTACACTTAAAGACACAAACAAACTAAAACTCAAAGGACGGGAAAAAAATATATCAAGCAAACAACACTCAAAAAAGAGCAGGAAAGGGAAGATTAGAATAAATCCAACTTGTTTATGGAACTCAGATGTCAGAATTAAGAATTTCATTTGCTGTTTATTCCTTATTGTTTGAACTACTGAGGAAAAATTCTGTTAATAAGTCCTCTAGAATTTTTCTTAACTGCTGTATTGAATGTAGTGATTTCTAATCACTTGGCAAAAAGCCAGTGAAAGTCTCTTGAGAAAAATAACAGAATTAAAGAATGCCAGTTTATCATGTATCCTCTCTGT